AAAGCACCTCCAAACTAAGCAGGGTTTATTATCAATAATAATAATAATAATAATAATTATAATAATAAAAACACAATGGGCAAACCAGAAACATTAAGGACATACATTTTTAATGTCAGCAACTCTTCCAACAAATATTGTATTAATAGTTACATTAACAATGTTTTTCGTATCATTATTATCCATCTATTGTCCATAATCATTTATCCAGTATAGTGCAGTGGTGAGACACCTTGAGTGTGATACCAGTCCATCACAGGGCTCACTGACATTCACTCATACATACAATCACACATGGTTCACTTTATTACAAGAGAAAAATGAAAATGAAATCCACACAAACATGGGGAGAACACGCAAACACCACACTAACACACACACAGTTGTGTAATTTTATCTTTGTGGGGACTCTCTATTCATTTCTAGGGGGAAAACCCTAAACCTAACATGACGACCTTAAATCCAGTGCACCGGTGAAGAAAACATAAAAAAATGTTTCATGTTTGTTATTTATATTGTTTTATTTATATTCTATTTTATATGGGTTCAATTGAGTAGTCAAATACGAGAGAAGCCTGTCACTTTAGTTTGTGGTGAAATATTTTATGGTGCTTGATATTTGTTCTGTTCTTTACTGCATATGATGATAGTGATTATTTAAAACATTTCACCATACATCTGTATTATTTAGCATTTTTTGTCTTTCAAATTAATCAAATAAAAGGCTGCTTTCCAGTAATGTATTTTCTCTTTGAAGTTTTCCTTAAAATATTTTTAAAATATTGTCTCGTCTCGTGAACCCAATATCGTGTCTCGTCTCGTGGACTGAGTATATCGTTATACCCGTAGTCCTTAGCTTCCCTGTACTGTACTCTGTGAAGAGATGGAGAGGCTTAAACCAGAGGACCACAAGGGGGTTACTTCAGCTTACTACATGTGGAGCAGTTAGTTACAGAGAGATTTGATGACCCATATATGGGTGGAAAGTGAAATTACAAAAAAATCAATCATACTAGCAAGTGAAATTCATATATTAATCTTTGTAAAATATAGGAGATGCTTCTGCTTATATAATTCAGGCACTCCTTGTCAAATGACATTATCACAGGCTCTTTAAGGGTGTAAGTATGAATATACAGTGCTTACAGTGACACCTGGAGGAAAACTGCAGAAATGCAGCTGTGCTTTTTTATTATCATATGATCATTAAAAGTTCTAAGTTCTAGGTTATGAATAGTACCACTATCTTATAAATGGCCGACATTCCTTGATGTTTAATTTTTTTGAAAATGGTAATAGCCAAATAATTAACATTAAATGTTTTCAAATTTTTAAAAATAGTGTTGTACAGTGATCTCCCGCGGAATGTAACTTCGCAGAAGTTCCATTCCAGACCCATCAGCGATAGGTGAAAATCCGTGATATAGAAAAACCATATAAACAAACATTTTTTTATAGTTTGTGCCTTAAAATACCCCTCCCACACAATTTAAACACATGTAAACTTATTAAAACACACTTTGTAAAACACCTTTCCCCCCTGGAGTGCAAAAAGTGGAGTCCTGGACAGCTGACCGGCATGCTAACAGCACCACAGGCAGATGTCTGCAATGGTCTCTCCCTCCTGATCAGGAAGTGCATAAGACTCTGACCATTTGGCAAAATAGTCCACTGCAGACAACACAAAATGATTCCCGTGGTCTGAGCATAGGAAGGGGCCCAACACATCCACCCCAACCCTCTCCATGGGGGACCCCACAGGGAACTGCTGGAGGGGGGCACGTGACTGACCCTGAGTCATCCTGAAGTCATAAGCCTGCAGCTCCTCAATCCAGCATGCGACCTGACCCTCAGGCTCTTTAAAGGATATGAGCCATCGAAGCGCTGAATGATCAGTTCGGACGGTGAAGGGCAAGCCGCAGAGGTAATACCTAAAGTGGCGCACAGCACACAGCAGAGCAACAAGCTCCCGCCGGGTGACACAATAGCGTTATTGAACACCCTGCTGAAATACGCCACCACCCTTTCCCCCTCCTGCCCCACCTGAGAGAGCACCGCACCCAACCCCACATCACTGGCATCAGTGTGCAGAATGAAAGGCAGGCTGGGGTTGGGGGGGCTAATACAGGGGCCTCAGTCAGAGCCTGCTTAAGGGAGGAAAAGGCAGTCGGGCACTCCTCAGACCACACGAAGGAGCTTCTTCTGCAGGAGTCTAAAGAGGGGGCAGCAATACAAGAGTAGCCCTGCACAAACCGCCTGTAGTAGGAGGATAGCCCCAGGAAGGCCTAAAGCTGCGGCTGCGTGGTTGGAGTGGGCCAGTCCCTCACAGCCTGCACCTTATCCTCCATAGTGCCAATGCCCCACCCCCGCAGCTTGTGACCCAGGAATGTTACCTCCCTCCTCATCAGATGGCACTTCTCTGTGCGAGAATGTCATCCAGATAAACCAGACATTCACTCCGGGGAATGCCCGACAGCACCCTATCCATTAAATGCTCAAACGTTGCCGGTGCATTGCAAAGGCCAAAGCACAGAACCTTAAAGTGCCATAGCCCCCCGTTTAAACAGAAGGCTGTCTTGGGCCTGGCCTCCTGCTTGGCTCCTGCTAATACCCGCTAGGCAGGTCTAATGAGGAGAACCAGGAAGAGCCCCCCACCAAATCCAATGACTTGTCAATACGAGGTAGAGGATACAAGTCTTTCTTTGTTACAGCATTCATGCGCCTGTAGTCTACACAAAAGCGCCAGTGCCCCCCTTCTTGGGTACCATAAACACAGGCGCACTGTCCGAGGGCTCGATAATCCCAGCTCGTCGCATTTCCTGCAAAGCCTCCTCCGCAGCCTGCTGACGAGACAGTGGCAGGCGGCGAGGGCGCATCCTGATTGGCACCACATCCCCGGTGTCGATCTCATGCTACACCAAAAGTGTCCACCCCACATCCCCTTCCCGTGTGGCAAAATTGTCCTTAAATTCCACCAGCAGCTCCCATAACTGCTCCTGCTCCCCTCGAGTCAGGCCATCATGGTTACACTGCCAGACGTCCCTGACCACTGACAGCGCCTCATTAACACCATCAGACTGGACAGGAGCCTGGAGAGGCAGGGCAGAGTCCGCAGAACAGTCCCTGCCAGGCAAAGACAGGGTGTGGGCCGCAGTTGAGTCAGGGTGTAACTGGCCCCATGGTGGTGGGTGCTGGGCTGGGGGTGAGGAACCACCACATGAGCCATTAGGAATCAAGGTTCCTGGTGCCCCAGGAACGTGTGTTGTTGGCCCCACAAAATGAACAGGTAGGGCATCAGGGACCATGGGGATAACAGGCCGCCCTGGAAAGCAAACTAAGTTACCCTGCAAGTCCAACTGACAGGCCATGCCCCTGAGGAAGTCCAAGCCCAAAATGCACTGGTCTTGCACCGCTGCCACCTACACTGGATGGCACACAGTTCGCCCTCCCACAGTGAGTGTCAATAGACCCCGCCCCTTCATAGATGACAGCTCCCCCCGTGACGGTGCACAACTGGACAGACGTAGGCTCCAGCAGCACATCACCTAGGATGATGTCCGGCCTCACTAATGTCACAGTGGAACCTGTGTCCACCAGGGCGGAACATGCAACCCCCTCTATCAAGACTGGAATGTGGCAGAAGTTCCCAACACCAGTCCGCCCCACAACAACCACCGGCTCAGAAGATGCACAGCCCCCCCTAGCAGACGCCCATGTCTTGTGCTGGGGAATAGAGGCAGGACCCGGCACAGTCCCCTCTATGCGGACCCCGACCCGTTTCCCTGCCTGCCATGCAGTCGAGGGC